TCTAAGAAGAGGCCCGGCACCAGCGTTTCACTCGTGCCAGGATTTTCCATTTCAGAAAAGTTTTTTGAATCAAAAGCAACTTTGAACCTTTTGGTTTTCAGCTCTGCAGTTGGGACCAGAGCCACAAAGTTGGACTTCACTTTGGCCTTTGCCATCCGGTCTCTCCATGTAGTTTCATCATCCTTGATGTCAATGACACGGACTGAGCTCAGGATGAGTCAATGCGCTGGACTAAGTTTAGTAGACAATGACTGACTGTTTAATCGTGCTGTGCAATCTGCAAATAAACCCGCCAAGAAGCAAACAACTTCCAACCGCCTTGCATAGAGAATCGCAGTATCTGATCCAGCTGCAGTTGAAGCTTTGCAAACTCTGGAGCCACCAAAAGATTCCTCACTGTCGCGATCCTTCCAGCTGGCAAGTACCTGAGAGGGTGGAAAGAAAGGCAGTGACAGGACAACACCTTAAACGTTTGAATGTTCTCCACCAGGACTCCACTCTCCAAGCTGCTCGATCCACGGCCCCTTGGACAAACGCTTGGTGACAATCAAGTGCCCGTTGAGCTTGGATGTCCAAGTCACCCGCTGCCCTGGCTCATCAAAGGAATCCACCACACGGCAGGTGGCTTCCTGCCACGTTTCCACCAGGACAGCTCCGAGAAGGGCAACCTTTTGTTGCACGCCCTCCGCCTGGGTCCACACGAAGGTTGGCCTCCAACGGCAACGGAACCAGTTCAAACTCAATGGGAAATTGCGTTGATGACATTAGCCATTGAATGTCAAGCCTGGATTTCAAACAAGGAAACTTACGACTTGAGAATTCAGCTTCCAGTTGGCTGTCTTTTTTGGCCTGGGCTGATCTGTCTTTTTTGTCAGTGACACAAATTCTTAAGTCAGAAGCTGCAGCAAAGGAAAGTCCTGTCACAGACAAGTTAATCTGAGTCTCTGCTACAAGGTCTTGCTTTTTTTGCTTCCTTAGCAAGACATTAGCAACAGCAGGACTGGGGGTGAAATTCATGGTAACGTTTCAGGCTCAGCCCA